CTTCTTTCACTTGATAGATTGTTCTTTGAAGCTTATGCGTGCTGTAGCATGGATCAGTGTTTCATTTCTTGTTTTGGTTGAATAATTAGCTGTTGAACAAGAAAACCACATTTTACGTAAGAAACTAATTCCAGGTGAATTATAAATTATAACGTGTAAGGTAAAATAAAATGACTTGAAAATGAAAACAGAGAATTAGTTTCCTGATCTTGAGGTAGGCAATGGTTTCCTCACAAGAACTCCAACAGCACCAATAATCAAGGAGATATCTCTGGGGGAACTGCAGGCCTCAGAGGTGAGGACAAACCCAAACCACTGGGGAGACTGCCAGTGACTCAAAGGACAATGGACAGGCCTGGGTAATTGTGCTGAGTTTCTCTCAGGCTGCCTATTGTCAAGTGAGCCTCTGGGCGCTGGAAGGATCCAAGTCCTGCCCATCACCAGAATGTGACAAGAGTCAGGAGTGCTCAGAGATGGCTGAGTCTCCCTGGAGATAGTCAGGCCCCTGTTCTGTCCTGCTTCATCATTTCAGGCTCCTCAGTGAGCCTTGTGAGGGTCAGTTCTGAGAGGGGACATAGGCTTGAGCTACAAAGGGTGAGCAGGCAGGCAGGATGGAGGAGGAGACACAGTTATCAGGAAGGAGAAAAAACACTTCACAGAGATGGTTCTTAAGCGTTTAGGTCAGCTCCACCCACACAGACGAGGAGAGCCCAGAGTTCCTGGAATGTAGCCAGCTTAGTAGCTGGTGACTGATGTGCCAGACAGCAGAGGTGCTGGTGCAGTACTCTTTCTTGGGAATCTAGAGAAACCCGGAGCAGTGTAGACCCATCATCCAGAACTCAGTGAGAGGTTCTGTAAAAGAAATATGGCCGCAACCAGAGACAAAGAAAGAAAAGTGGACTCCTCCTCCCAGCACAGACCTTGAAAAGTGGCTGCTCGCAATTAACTAGTGAAGCACTGCCCATTGTGATCTTGTCCATAGAGGGTAGAAGTACTAAGTTCTGCTTCTGTAAACTCCAGTCATAAATCTGTCCTAATAAATCTGCTCCTGATATCTCTTCTACAAACATACCAGGCCCACTGACCATTGGAAGTGTGGTCCTAAGTCACGTAGGCTGCAATTTAAACCCACCAATGCTGTAACAGCTAAGGTATGATGCTGATGAACCTATAAATATTGTAAGAAATTTGGGATTGTCGCTCAGTTCTCGGGAAATGATTCCAGCTGAGCCCACTGGTGTAATAAACTGCTTGGATCCTCCACTGTCTCTGGTGCCTGTTTGAATAAAGGGAGTTTTCTCACTCCAGGTTTCTGTAACAGTTTAGCCATTCTAACAGTCCTGAAGAAACAGTGTGAGAGCAGAGATAGGTACTGGAAGCCTCAAAAATGAGGGAACACTGGAGATTCAGTACCCACACTTGATTGTTCATGCAGATTTGGAAGTGACATGAGAATAAGTTGCAGGTTAAGCTCCTATTTAATCCTTATGTCATTAGGCCTATGTGATCAAGAGTTTATACAGGTGTCTGACACTGGGCCTGCCTTTGATAGAGCTATGGCTTCTAAGGCAACCTCTGCTCTCAAGAGAAAGTATGCGAGAAATGCTCTAAGACAGTAGTTCTCAAAGTTGCATTGCAACAGCATCAGCGTATGTCAGATCCTGTTAGGAATGCCGATTTCCTGGCTGTATCACACTCTAAATGAAGGAGAAACTCTGAGGGTGGTGCCCAGCCATTGCTGTTTAAACAAAATATATATTAAATAATGTTGTATAAGAACACAGTCAATATGGAGGGAGTTTTGAGGGGCAATTACAAAGAGGAAATGGGATGTGATATACCTGGGAAGATCTGGACAGGTTAGGAGGTCCCATTGGTGTCTAAAAGCAAAGCAAAATCGAGGGCTGGCATTGTAGTGCAAGGAGGTTGAGCCAGCACTTTCGATGTAAGGGCATCACATAGCACAGTGCTGGTTTCAGTCCTGGCTACTTTGCTTCCAATCCAGCTCCCTACTAAATGGAAAATGACCCAAATACTTGGGCCCTTGCAAACCATATGGAAGATCGGAGTGGAGTTCCTGCTTCCTGGCTTCAGCTTGGCCCAGCCCAAGCAGCTGTGGCCTTTTTGGGAATTAACCAGCAGGTAGATGATATTCTCTCTCTCTCTCTCTCTCTCTCTCTCTCTCTCCCTCCCTCCCTCCCTCCCTCCCTCATCTTAGAACTCAGAGTTCTTCTGAAGTGTCTGCTGTGTACTTTGGATAGGAGTCAGATCCTTCTTTTCACCTCAGTTCTCACACAGCGATACCCGAGCTGGAGGAGAGACAGAGGAAATGTTGCTTAGCATTATATATCTTTCTCTCTTCTTCAGCACAAATACTAGCATTGGAGCAGACTTGTTTTCCAAAGCTGTTCTGGCTTCTGTCTCTCCATCCTTTCCCTCGGTTGTTCAAATCTGAGGGGGGACATGATCCCCCTGCTTCCCTCAATCTTGGCTCCTCCTGCAAGTCCCACCCTTCATCTACTCATAATTCTGGATTCCTGGGAGAGTTTGTCTGACTCTTATTCCGACCAGGGCTGTATTCCTTACTCAAAACCACAGTGGAAGTAAGGAGTAGGCAGCACAGATAGAGAAGAGGAAGACAAAAAAAGACAGCAATGGGAATCGGTGACCTTAGCAATGACTATGTACACTGCTGAGCCAGGGACAGGACTTTTGCAGGGAGCCTCATCCTCATCATCCTCATCACCATGCCCACCTACCTGCCATTTATTCACTTTCAAGGAAAAGAGAGAGGAGGTGGCAAGGAGAGCACTTAAACACTCTGCCAGTGTTCATTTTTATTCTTTCTCTCTTCCTCCACCTGGGTGCCCATTCTCAGTTAGGGAGTTCATTCCTCTATGAACAGTGAAGCACAGTTAACACTCTCTAGGCCCTGTCCCTGGGCATCCTGCTCTGTGGGAACTGAGTTGCCAAATGCCCACAAGATTGGCCTGTGGCAGTGGGAGCGTGGCAGTGGGAGCAAGGCAGTGGAGGAAGTGTGTGTGTGTGGGAGTTGGACAATCTGGAAGGGATCTGAATGTGCCTGCCCAGGGAGAGAAGCCATCTCGTTGTTTGCTGGGAGGGGAAGTGGAGACCTAGGTCTGGCATGGCCTGGCCTTGACCCACTGATTTGCTTTTGTGCCTCAGGCACAGCAAGCAATGGCATTCTGGTCCCTGAGCCTTCAGACTTCCACTCAGGTCTTACAAACACACACCTGAGTAAAAAGACCCCTCTCCTTTGCTCTTCCAGCTTCTTTCTTCTCTGCACTCAGCACATCTTCTCTAAGAGCACAGAGACTGGGGGATAAACTCAGAGTCCTCATACCTTGTTTCAGATCAGCCTTTCTCTCCTCAGTTCTGCCTCTGCCTGTGGGACCTAAAGTTGAAGCATTCTGCTGCTTCTCTTTGTCCCTTGAATGAGTGCTCTGTCTGCTTCTCCAGTCCCTGAGCTTTCCTGTGTTGCCTCCCTGTTTTATTCTCCAAAACTTAGTGTACTACACGCATCTTATCCCTGTGCTGCAGAGCCAGCCCCCCCCCCTTCATGCTAATTCTCCATGGATACATTTCTCTCCCTTTTCTGAGATGATAGCAGTACTCAGGATGCATGGGGAATGGGGCCCTGGGAGATTGTCAGATGGTTGAAAAGAAAAGAAATGTTTAGCTCTGACTACTAAATCCTATTCCACAGCCTAGGGAAGAATGTGTGCTTCCTCCTAGAGCCCTTATATTCAAAGAATGGTACAGTATCTGGAAAACAAAGAACCCTACATTTTTCCCTCTCTCTTTCCAGATGAATCCAGAGACAATCACTTCCTGACACTTTCTGTAAGTACTTGACTTCACAAACAGGGCCCATGTTTAGGGCAGGTATTTGGCCTAGTAGTGAAGATGGCAGTATATTGCAACAAAACGTCTGGGTCTGAGTTCCAGCTCCAGTTCTTGATTCCAGCTTCCTGCCAAGACAGATTCTGAGAGGAAGCTGGATGGATCACGTAATTAGGTTCTTGTGGGGCACGTGGGAGACCTAAAGTGAGTTCCAGCTTCATCATGGCTTAGTCCCAGAAACTGCAGGCTTTTGGGAAGAGAACCAACAAAGGGGATCTCTCTGTCTCTCAAACAGATAAAATAGATTAAAAATAGCACCCACATTCCCATTATCTATCCTCCCTGGGAATGATGTCAGGGTAGAGGAACACCTGCAAAATGAACTCTGAAACTAACTTGTATGTATTATAATGGGCTGGGCGCTTTGTGAAGGGTACCTGTTGCTGACCCATTTGGGGGGACTTCACTAAATTTCGTGAGTGGCAGTAACCGTTGGCTCCATCGATACAGTGCTTCTTTGAATTTCTCAGTATTTTCAAAAGTGGTACAAAAGCATTTATCCAGGATACTAAACAACATGAGCTCACACAGAGAGTGGGGCTCTCTTGAGGAAACAGAATTCCACTTTTTAGTTCCTTGGACATAGTCTCAGATAAATCTGCAGTAGCCGTGGGGCAGTCATAGTTTCCAAGCCTTTGAGAATTATAATGGTGTATTTTCTCCAAGGCCACTTCTTCCTCGTGGCTTAAAACTCTCATTCTTTTTAGTGGGCATCTCTGTTGTCACCTATTTGCATTTTCATTTAGAGTTTATTAATTTGAGTATGCACCAACTAGAATATATATTGTCCACAAAAATTCTGCCTCTAGCCATCACCTCCCCTTCTTTTACATACATTTTACTCTGAGAGGCTCTAGTATATTTTAGTTCTGTTCCTAATAAGCATTATATCTAGTAGAATTGGGACACTAGCGTATTGTTTAACATTGACTAGAAAAGAGCACATCCAGAAAGGTCATGCCAGAATACCAAACTCTGACCATCAGTAAACCAGCTTGCAATGAAAGAAAACACAATAAGAATGCTTAGAAGTTGCACAAACAATGAATGTTTATTTTCCAAATAACTGGCTAAGAGATAAATGAAGGTTACAAAAGTTTGTGGGACATACATGGTCAATCCCTGAGCTTGGCAGGCTCACACAAGTTTCAGTTCATCCTCAGAGTAACCTTGAGGGCTGCGTATTACTGTCCCTATTCTACAAATATAAAAACAGCTTCAGAAACGTCTCTTGGTAGAAAAAAATCTGAAAACATCTATTCCAAAAAAGTAAACATTGACCATTTCTGGGTGATTTGATATCAAAGACAATTTATTTAATGTTTACATTTAATATAACACATATCATTTTTATTAAATAATTGAAATTTTATGAAATATGAAACAGTAGCTTTGGCTGACCTCATAAACCAGGGTGTGACATAGATATAAATCCATGTCTTCCAATTTTCATTGACATTGCATTGCCTTTGCTTTGGAGATAATAACTTAGAGCAATGGTGAATGGAGGGAAACCAACGTCAGAAAACAGTCTCTATCTGACCTGGCTCTCACTGGGACTATTACTTGAAGCAGCATTCCTTATTCTGCTCTAAAACTTCTAGAAGTTCCTTCCTGGTACCAGATGTGCACCAAGGCTAACAAATCACAGGGCTTTCCTTATGACTCTCAGTAAATCAGTTCTGTAAAATCTCTACACTGTCTTGAAGAACATTCAGGTATATATAATATATATACATGTATAATATAATATATAACATATAATATAATGTATAATATATATACATATATACATTAATGTACTCTTTCTGTTCCAGTGTAAGGTGTCCTGAGCCACAGGCTTGTTTTTTCATTGAGACAGAAGGATAGCCATTGAAGCTCTTCCTAATTAAGTCATTCTCCATGAGAGCCCTTCAGAGGAGCTGAATATTCTTGTACTTCATCTGTCCTGAGACAGAACAAAGAATGACAGTAGGACTTGTGGCCATGATATTATTTGCCAAATCCCTCCTTATAACTACAGAATTTAGATCACTGAGGACGGGGAAACTCTGGGTAATCAAGTAATTGCATAGAATCCTATAGTTATAGATAAGAGAGCTAGTCATCTATGTGGGTTTTCTGGTATTTAATAAGGTGTGAATTCTGAATGAGTTGTGTTCCACACTCATCACATTTAAAGGGCTTCTCCCCTGTATGAATTATTTGATGTGTGTGTAGATTTGCTGTATGAATGAAGTCTTTCCTAAACCATGAGCATTTATATGGCTTTATTCCTTGGTGTGATATGAGGTGTTTAACATCTGAATGCAATCTAAACCTATCACACTGCCGACCATTTATAGGGCTTCTCTTAAGTATGAATTCTCTGGTGCCTAATAAGTTCAGATCTAAATTTGAAGCTTTTCTCACACTTCTGACACTTAAAAGATTTCTCTTCTGTGTGGTCTGCCCTGTGATGCTTCATATATTTCACCCATGCCTGTTTAAGAGTTACAGATATATTTCCCTCCTCTGGATAGGCTGGATGATCCTTCTGGACTCTGTGAAGTTCTAGGCCTGTTGCTTTCTGGGAAGCTCCTCTTTTGGTCTTTTTTGATACTTTGCATCCTGGTGCTTGCATTTCTGATGCAGGAACAGATACAGCATGATCATTTCCAATATCATTTTTGAGCTTTAACCCTGCCAGAACAAACAGAATAATAAGTCATCTGGTTCTCAGAGCAAGGAGATTACAGGAATGGAGTTAAAAAAGGCAATGATGATTGTTTGTAAAAGACACAGAAACAACACAGTTTGGACACAATGGTATACACCCATTTCTCCCTGACCCTCCCTGCTAGGCACAACAATAAACCCTTTAAACAATATAAGAAAGAAGCAAAAAAGTAATTCTGAGAAATGCAAAGAAGAAGGTAAACTGGTTTTTGACCCTAGGACCTAGGGATTCTTACTACTCCAAATACAATCCAGCTCTAGGATTTTTGAACCCTCAACCTAGGTAGGCATACCCATTCCCCAAACTGAATGGGAAAACTTCTGACAACAGCAGGCAAATTAAACATAACTAGAAAACAGAATCAGCCTGTAATCCTGTTGATAAAATTGACAGCAGAATTACATGTCCTCCATACTGGGCTGGAGACACAGTCCCAGCTGAGAGATACTAAAATACGAGCAGAACTGTCAGGAGAAACATGTTGAGGGGAATGGATTGGAAGCCTCTTAAATACTAGAGATTGGAGACTTTGTCCTTTCAATAGGAGATACTCAAGTGGGCAACAGAACCAACAAGCAGGACCCAGCCACAACACACAGCCTAGGCTAGGAAGCCCAACATATCTGAGCTTCCCCTTCCTTACTGAGAATCATCCTGGTCTAGGAAAATAACCTCCATATCTTCAGGTAGTACCAGCAGAGATCCAGATAAATCAAGGAAGTCAAAACAGCACTCCGAAAAGCAGACTGTCATAGGAAGCATAGCCCACGAAAGTGAGAAAGCATCTGCAGGCTAAACTACAACAAAATAAAAGCTGTCTGCACATTAATGTTTATTGCAGCTCAATTCACAATAGCTAAGACCTGGAACCAACCCAAATGCCCATCAACAGTAGACTGGATAAAGAAATTATGGAACACGTACTCTATAGAATACTATACAGCAGTCAAAAACAATGAAATCTGGTCATTTGCAACAAAATGGAGGAATCTGGAAAACATTATGCTGAGTGAACTAAGCCAGTCCCAAAGGGACAAATATCATATGTTCTCCCTGATCGGCGACAACTAACTGAGCACCAAAAAGGAAACCTGTTGAAGTGAAATGGACACTATGACAAACAGTGACTTGATCAGCCCTTGTCCTGACTGTTGATGTACAATGTAATACTTTATCCCTTTTAGTATTTTTTTTTGTTCTACTTAATACTATTGGTTGAACTCTGTAATTAATACACAATTATTCTTAGGTGTTTAAATTTAACTGAAAAGTGACCCCTGTTAAATATAAGAGTGGGAATAAGAGAGGGAGGAGATGTACAATTTGGGACATGCTCAACCTGACTTACCTCAAACGGTAGAGTTAGAAACATACCAGGGGATTCCAATACAATCCCATCAAGGTGGCATGTACCAGTGCCATCTCACTAGTCCAAGTGATCAATTTCAGTTCCTATAGAAATAACAGCACTATGGCCATTAAAGAAAGTCATTTCTGCCTGAGGCATTAGGCACAGTGGTTAAGATGCCACATGGGACGTTCATAAGCTGTATCAAAATGCCTGAGTTTGAATCACAGCTCCACTTTCTATTCCAGTTTCCTGCCTTGTGGGCAACAGATTATGGCTCAAAAACTTGCATCCGTGCCATTCATATGGGAGATCCAGATTGTGTTCCAGATTCTTGGCTTTGTCCTGGTATAACCCTGATCGTTGCAGGAATTTGAGGAATGAACCAGTAAGTCTAAGATCTCTGTCTCAGTCTGCCTCTCAAATAAATAATCATAAATAAAGAATTTTTAAGAAGAAAGTGAATTAATAATTTAAAAAGTCTCAAAAAACGTCTCCAGGTCCAGAGAGTGTCAGTGGAGGTGTCTAGCAAATAGTTAAAGAATTAACAGCAACTTGTACAATGTATTTCAGAAAAGAGAAGAAATACTGGGGCTGGTGATGTGGCACAGCAGGTTAAAGCCCCGGCCTGCAGCGCCAGCATCTCATATGGGCACCAGTTTGATTCTCGGCTGCTCCACTTCTGATTCAGCTCCCTGTTAATGTGCCTGGGAAAGTAGTGGAGGATGGCCCATGTGCTTGGGCTCCTGCACCTACACTGTAGACCCAGAAGAGGCTCCTGGCTCCTGGATTTGGATCAGATCAGCTCCAGCCACTGCGGCCATTTGGGGAGTGAACCAGTGAATGGAAGAACTATCTCTGTCTCTGTCTCTACCTCTCTCTGTAACTCTGACTTTCAAATAAATGAAGTGAATCTTTAAAAAAAAGACATATCATTTTATAAGGCCAGTATTTTCCTGTTAGCAAAACCCCACAAAGATGGTACTAAAGAAGAAAATTAAAGATTAACATCTTCCTTACACTTCATTGCAAAAATTATCAATTAAATGTTGGAAAATTGAATGTAACAATGTGTAAAAAGGATTACATATCATGATCCAATAGGATTTATTGCTGGTGGGCAATGGTGGATACACATTAGAAAATCAATCAACATAACTTATCATATCAACAAACTAAATGAGACATAGCATATGTTTCTATTAACTGAAACACAAAAAGTGTCACGACAAAACTAATTCTTAAGTTAAGAATTATATAAACCTAAGAAAGAACTTCAATAACAAATGCAGTGCTGAAATCATCTGTAATTGTGAAAAACTGAAGGCATTTGGGAAAATTTGGGAATAAGGCAAGGAGTCTTCATATTCAGCCTAATGCAAACAAAACAAATAAAAGGCACCACAGATAGAAATTGTAGATTCCTACAATAAAATTCCCAGGGAATCTATAAAAAAAACCTCTTAGAACTAAAAAGTGAATATAGTATAGTCACAGCATACAAGATCAAAACACAAAATCAATGATATTCCTGTATAAAACAAGAACATGCAGAAACCCAAATGAAAAAGTTACCATTTGCAATTGTTCCAGTGAAAACAAGCTTATGAAAATACCAGGATATGTGCTTATTTAGACAATGAAAATTAGAGAAAGCTGATAAAACAAATGCAAATAAAGGTGACCTAAATAGAGACATATTGTGTTCATTAATTGGAAGAATCAACAAAATAAAGTCATCAATTCTCCTCAAACTGATACGTAGGTTTAATCTGATTTCTGAAAAAGTTTCAACAGAGTTTATTGTAAACAAAGATGAGCTTACCATAAAATTTACATGGGAAGGTGCATATCTGGGAATAGATGAAAAAAATCTTTTTTTAAAAAATCATTTACGGCCTGTGCCGCAGCTCACTTGGCTAATCTTCCTCCTGCTGCACCGGCACCCCGGGTTCTAGTCCCGGTTGGAGCGCTGGATTCTGTCCTGGTTGCTCCTCTTCCAGTCCAGCTCTCTGCTGTGGCCCGGGAAGGCAGTGGAGGATGGCCCAAGTCCTTGGGCCTTGCACCCGCATGGGAGACCAGGAGGAAGCACCTGGCTCCTGGCTTCGGATTAGCGCAGTGCGCCGGCGGCAACGCTCTAGCCGTGGCGGCCACTTGGGGGGTGAAACAATAGAAAAAGGAAGACCTTTCTCTCTGTCTAACTCTGCCTGTCAAAAAAATCATTTACTTTATTTATTTGAAAGGCAGGGAAGTAGAGAGGGACATAGCTGACAAAGCATGAGAATCTAGAATATAAGTTGAAAACCAATCCAGTTAAAATATAGGCAAAAGATACTTCAATGAAGAAGAGATAGAGATGGCTGATAAGTGCATGAAAAGATGTAAAACATTATCAGCCATTTTCAAATGCAAATTAAACCAACAATGAGATATCAGAATGCTAACATTAAAAACGCAGACACTAAACATCGACAAGCATGTGGAGAAACTAGATCTCCCATACATTGCTGGGGGGAATGCAAGATAGTACAGCCACTCTGGAAAACCGTTCAGCAGTTTCTAATAAAGTCAAATATTTCATTACCATACTAATCAGCAATTGCACCCTTGAGGCATTAAACCCAGAGAAATGAAAATTTCTCTTGACATAAAAACATGTACATGAATATTAATGGAAGCTTTATTCATAGTAGCTAAAACCTCTAGACAGCAAAGACATTAACAGGAAGTGCTGAAACAGTGGTGTATCAACTCTATGGATCACTAAACAGCAATAAATGGGAACTAACTTGACATAGCCAACAGTTTACTCAAATGCCCAGAGGAATTATTTTGAGTGAAGACAGTTAATCACAAACAATTAAATATACATATATGCATATATATCATGATTCCATTCACATAACATCTTTCAAATGGCAAAAGTTTAGAAATATGGAACAGCTTAGTGACTGGCGTTGGTTAGTGGAGATGTGGGGAAGTGTGTATATTACCTTCTGTGGGCAACAGAAGGATCCTTGTAGTAATGGAACTGTCCAGTATTCTGAATATGGTGGTGAATACAAAAATTTCCAAGTGATAAAACTGTACACACACAAACACACACAGACAGAAAGACAGAGAGAGACAGAGACAGAGAAAGAGAAATAAAAATTGGGGCTATCAGAATAAGATCAGGGGTTTGTACCAATCTCAATATCTTGTGATATCATGCTATTTTTGCAATAGTTATCATGGTGGGAAACAGTAAAATGTACATTTTACTTGTACTAAATTTGTATTACATTTTAAATCTGCATATTGAATCTAAAATCTCAATAAAAATTTCAATTAAAAATACAGCGCACCACCTTAAAATGTTAAGTCCCTGTAAAGATTCATGTTTGAGGAGCTAGCGCCATGGAACAGTAGGTTAATACTCCGTCTGCAGTGCTGGCATCCCATATGGGCACCAGTTCTAGTCCTGGTTGCTCCTCCTCCAATCCAGCTCTCTGCTATGGCCTGGGAAAGCAGAAGCTTGCCCAAGTCCTTGAGCCCCTGCATCCACATGGGAGACTGGGAAGAAGTACCTGGTTCCTGCACAGCTCTGGCCATTGCAGCCATTTGGGGAGTGAACCAACAGAAGGAAGACCTTTCTCTCTGTCTCTCCCTCTCACTCTCTTTAACTCTCTACCTCTCAAGTAAATAAATAAATTCTTTTAAAAAAGATTCCTGTTTGAAAAACTTCTTCTCTTCCAATAATTATACTTATCTATAAGACACTTTATAAGATCTTCCTTTTCAGCCAGATCTGAATGCCTTTAGGGCTGATTCTGAGGCCAGAGTGCTATTTAGGGCATCTGCCATTCTATGAGTCTGCTGAGTATCTCACTTCCCATGTTGGATCACTCTCCCCTTTATTTATTCTATCGGTTAGTGTTAGCAGGTACTAGACTTGCTTATGTGCTCCCTTTGACTCTTAGTCCTTTCATTATGATCAATTGCGAACTGAAATTGATCACTTGGACTAGTGAGATGGCATTGGTACATGCCACCTTGATGGGATTAAATTGGAGTCCCCTGGTATGTTTCTAACTCTACCATTTGGGGCAAGTCAGCTTGAGCATGTCCCAAATTATATATCTCTTCCCTCTCTTATTCCTACTCTTATGTTTAACAGGGATCACATTTCAGTTAAATTTCAACACTTAAGAATAACTGTGTATTAATTACAGAATTAAATCAGTCATATTAAGTAGAACAGACAAAAAAACTACTAAGAGGGATAATGTATTAAGTTGTTCATTAACAGTCAGGGCTATGCTGATCAAGTCACCGTTTCCCATAGTGTCCCTTTCACTTCAACAAGTTTCCTTTTTGGTGTTCAGTCAGTTGTCACCGATCAGGGAGAACATATGGTATTTGTCCCTTTGGGACTGGCTTATTTCACTCAGCATGATGTGTTCCAGATTCCTCCATTTTGTTGCAAATGACTGGATTTCGTTGTTTCTTACTGCAGTATAGTATTCTAAAGAGTACATATCCCATAATTTCTTTATCCAGTCTACCGTTGATGGGCATTTAGGTTGGTTCCAGGTCTTAGCTATTGTGAATTGTGCTGCAATAAACATTAGGCTGCAGACCGCTTTTTTGTTTGCCAATTTAAATTCCTTTGGGTAAATTCCAAGGAGTGGGATGGCTGGGTCGAACGGTAGGGTTATCTTCAGGTTTCTGAGGAATCTCCAGACTGATTTCCATAGTGGCTTGACCAGTTTGCATTCCCACCAACAGTGGGTTAGTGTCCCTTTTTCCCCACATCCTCGCCAGCATCTGTTGTTGGTAGATTTCTGAATGTGAGCCATTCTAACCGGGGTGAGGTGGAACCTCATTGTGGTTTTGATTTGCATTTCTCTGATTGCTAATGACCTTGAACATTTTTTCATGTGCCTGTTGGCCATTTGGATTTCCTCTTTTGAAAAATGTCTATTGAGGTCCTTGGCCCATCTCTTAAGTGGGTTGTTGGTTTTGTTTTTGTGGAGTTTCTGGCTGAAAAGCCCATGAGAGTATTTCAGGCATGGAGAGCCAAGACACTCTGGCAAAAGATCTCTGTGAGTGAGATCTCAGTGGAAAGAACAGGTCTTCAAAGAAGGAGGTACCTTTCTCTGAAGGGAGGAGAGAACCTCCACTTTGACTATGACCTTGTCTAAACAAGATAAGAGTCGGAGAACTCAAGGGGCTTCCATAGCCTTGGAAACTCATGACTGGAGCATAGGGAGATTACTGATGCCATAGACAGGAGTGTCAATTGGTAAAGTCAACAACAGGAGTCACTGTGCACTTACTCCTCATGTAGGATCTCTGTCCTTAATGTGCTGTGCATTGAGATTTAATGCTATAACGAGTACTCAAATAATATATTTCACTTTGTGTTTCTATGGGGGTGCAAACTGTTGAAATCTTTACTTAATGCATACTAAACTGATCCTCTTTAAAAAAAAAAAAAAAAAAAAAAGAGGAATTTTATGAAGTTTTGTCCTGACATGTACATTAAAAACACTTTTACTTAATCTCTGTCCTTAGTGTGCTGTACATTGTGATTTAATGCTACAACTAGTACTCAAACAGTATTTTTCACTCTGTGTTTCTATGTGGGTGCAAACTGTTGAAACCTTTTCTTAATATATACTAAACTGATCTTCTGTATATAAAGAGAATTGAAAATGAATCTTGATGTGAATGGAAGAGGAGAGGGAGAGGGAAAGGGGAGGGTTGCGGGTGGGAGGGAAGTTATGGGGAGGGGAAGCCATTGTAATCCATAAGCTGTACTTTGGAAATTTCTATTCATTAAAAAAAAGTTAAAAAAAAAAAAAAAAAAGATCTTCCTTGAAATCCTGGGAACTTTGAATCTATGATTCTTCTCTTTGCTCTAAATACATTACTTTCAGTTTAGGGTGCAGTGATGATCTGGGAATACAACCTTGAGGGCACAGGATGCCATCTGAATTTCAGAGTATTTTCCAAATGTTCCAATGTGCAAAATGTTGTATCTGTTATCTTCTTTTTTAAAAAGATTTTTATTTGTTTATTTGATAGGTAGAGTTACAGCGGGGGGGGGGGGGAGGGAGGGAGGTATCTGGTATCTTCTTAATAGTCTTTTGTGGATAGACATGCAAAAAGAAATATTTAAAAAGAACCTAGGAAAACAATATGGGAAATGGGAATCCAATGCTACTGAAGTATATTGGTTAGAGTTGAGGGTAGCTTAGGCTAGGATAGTGAGAGTGGAAGAGGTTGAGACGTGTGTGGATTTAGTATATAGCTTTTTTTAATGATTTTTTTTATTTTTATTTGAAAGTCAGAGTTACACACAGAGAGAAGGAGAGGCAGAGAGAGAGAGGTCTTCCATTCGCTGGATCACTCCCAACTGGCCGCAGTGGCTGGAGCTGCGCCGATCCGAAGTCAGGAGACAGGATCTTCTTCTGGGTCTCCCACGTGGGTGCAGGGGCCCAAGGACTTGGGCCATCTTCTACTGCTTTCCCAGGCCATAGCAGAGAGCTGGATCAGAAGTGGAGCAGCAGGGACTCAAACCGGCACCCAGATGGGATGCCAGTACTGTAGGTGGTGGCTTTACCCTTTATGTCACAGCGCCAGCCCCAAGATATAGTTTGAAAATAGAGCTAAGAGGACATGATGCTGGATCAGTTGTGGAGTAAAAGAAAAAGACTGGAGTAAAGGACTACAGAGGGTTTTTTGAACTGAGCAGTTGGTCCCCTTTTCTGACATGAGAAAAATATGGCAAGAGCAGCTCTGCAGGTAGTAGCAGGGGATGACAGATCAACAATTCTATTAGATCAAAGAAGTGAGATGTAGGAATGGGGGTGTGGGTGGGAGGGAGGTCAGGGTGGGAAGTATCACTATGCTCCTAAATCTGTATATATGAAAATACATGACATGTGTTCACCTTATATAAATCAAAACTTGTTAAAAAAAGAAATGAAAGCATCCCTATAATTTCTATCAAAAAAGTAGAAAGAAAAAATAACAATGGACGAGAACGAAGGAGTGCTTCTCTCAGATCTATATATAAGAAAATATAGTCGATTAAGTATTCTTATGATGCCATATGTATGTAGGAATGATAGAAACAGGAAAGAGAATCCTGCTCCAGACACTTGCAGTGTCTTCTGGTACTGCAGGACATTTAAACATCTTTGAAGGCCTCTCAAAGACAGCAGACATCCATGCTTCTGTCTCCTGTTTTTCTTTAGAAGATTATTAGCCCCACTATGAATTGAATATGTCAGGTACATACTTTAGGGTTTGAAAATTAAAGAGCTGAGCTACTGTTAATCCGTGTTGATTATATATATATATATATATATATATATAGAATTGTTAATAAAATTCTATTGGTACTAAACCAAAAATAAAAGAAGAAATGGGATCTGTATTAAGGAAGCTGCTGGGAAATCTGGACATTACCTTCCATCTACACTATCAAGGTCAGAGCATTCAGCTACTAGAAGACTGAGACTCCCTCACGGGGAGGGGCATTTTCCATAAAATGAGGACATTTCAGTCAACTTCTACACAAGAGAAAGGGTGAAACTTTACCTAGATAGGCAGCATCCTCATAGACATCTCCCATGACATCTCTGTAGAGGGTCTTCTGAGATGGGTCCAGTAATTGCCATTCTTCATCAGAAAAATACATGGCCACATCTTCAAATGTCAACAAACTCTAAAGAAGAGAATGGCTTTTAATTCAGTAATTGCCACTACAGAAGCAGTTCTACCACCCATATCAGAACTACACAGTAGACAGGTGCTGAGGAATTAAACAGTTCAATATTTTGTGGGAAAGAAGGTGAAATGGCAGAAAGCAAGGAGCCAAGAACATCAGTAAACAGTCTAAGAGGTGCCAAATTCCCATTCCCAATACACCAAGTCAAGCCCTGAGAACATCTGGAGTTAACATACCTCAGAGATCCCACAGAGCACCATGGGCTGTAGGTGGCAGGAAAATCAGAGGCAAAAACCAAAGCGCCCAAAAAAGCTGGAAAAGGCAAGATGAGCTCAGATGCCATATTCCAGTCTCTGATGCTTTTAAGACAGACAATACTAAAATCAGTGGAGTACGCACTGCTGTGGGTAGAAACAGCCAGAAACAATTTCTCTCTTCTTTATGAACAAGAACTCTGAGCTGATGGGTCACCTGGACAAGCATGTGTGTGTGCCTATTAACTGACCACCTCATTGTAGGTAAGAACCAAGTATCTACCAGTCATAGATCCAGTTCCATTTGCTGTTTCTCCAGATTTCATGAGTGAAATTAATGAGATGAAATATATCAATATAATAAATATCATAAAATCAATTGTTAACCGAGCTAGGCAAGAATTACAGGTATCTGAAAAAGAAGGTCTCAGGTCTTTCATTCTAGAGGAGGTGTGGTAGATGGTTGCTTTTTCACATTTTAGTCCTGCTGCACAATTTTCTTTATATTTTGCCACTGACAGTCCATTTCTGACCCTAATTGAACTTACACGATGAAGTGGTCCCCGTGTATTCATTCCCTTATCTCTCATCTCAAGTTTTTGAGGAGCAGAGTCCATAGTATCAATGTCAGGGTTATGCGGTTTGGTTGTTTTTGAGCCTTAGGTCAACTCTCACCTACTGAACCCCAGCTTGGGAGAAACCACAACTGTGGTATGGCTGGGTATGTGAAAAATCCCCCAAAATATTCTAATTGAACCAATGGCTATTACACACCATGTAGAAGAGAATTATGAAGTTCCTTTCCTCTTTCATGTACAAATTGGTTTTCTTAGTGAGTATTGCAGTCCAGCTATTTTTGCAGTACCTAATACGTATTCCAACATTCTTTCTAGAACCCATCTATTGATTGTGGCTATGCTGTCATCCATTTGAAGCTTAAGGTACCTACTGTTGCCCCCACAGCACCATCTCCTTTCTGAGATCATGGGCTGTAACCTAGATAATCCCCTCTCATTAGCATAGAATTTACTTTTGTTGTAGGTTGGTGGCAGAGGGAGGAACAAGAGTAGAGCTCAGACCTCAGAAGTTGGGTTTGTATTAAAACGGCGAAGTAGGATGCCTGTATCCCAGGTCAGAGTATATGGGTTTAATACCTGGTTCCATTCCTGATATAGCTTTCTGTAATTACAGATTCTGGGAGGCAGCAGGTGATGTCTCAAGTAGTTGTGCCCTTGCCATCCATGTGAAAGGTCTGGGTTGAGTTTGCATTTCCTTAGACTGGTCCAGCCTTGGTCATTGTTGGCATTTGGGGCACAGAACATGTGGATGGGTGATACCTTTGTGTTTGTGTGTATATGTTCATGAATGCAAATTTTGCTTTCGCACAGTAAGTATTTTTTAAAGTGAAAATTTCTGTCCCTACTGCCAGCCCTCTAATCCACAGACCCCCAACAATAGGCACACAATCATAGCTCAAGCATAGGCACACAATCATAGCTCAAGCATCCAACCAGGGTTGAGCAGGTTGTATGTTATCAGTCTGCCTTTACTATATTGAGTGCTTGCCTGGGATCCCTGCCGCATTGGATTTGTACCTTCCAATTTTCTCTGATAACCGAGATTATCCAATCCTTCATAGCCAGGGGAGGATTTCAAGGGGGAAAGAGGAAGGAATGGAAGAAAAAATGAGGGAGAAGCAGCCACATGATTTGGTTGCAAGAAGATAGCCAGTGGGCCCTGCTCTGTACTCTTCTCTGCCAAGGGCACACATCTTCTCACTCACCAGAAAGGCCAAGGACAGATCTCCAGAGGAGGGCAGTAGAGGGTCTTTCTTTGTAGCCCTGAGATGTGTGTTTCTGCCTCAGAGGACAAGACCCTCAGCATCCTGACTCCCTACAGTTCACTGCAGGCACTTTTCCTTTTCCACTATCTTTGTTCGCCTTTTTCCTTTCCATTATTTGTTTTGCTCTATTGCCTCCACAGAGCTAACTTTACCCTTGACTGCTTCCTTTTCTTCCCTTCAGTCTCTGGCAGGGGCATCCAATGTTTGAATCATTTCTCTTTTCCCAATTCTTTCTTGACTTTTAGTTCCTTTTCTGAGAACTGGTCTTACCTCCTTGGGCATGAAAAGGCTAGGCCCACCACCTCCACTTCACGTTGAACCTAAAGATGACAAAATACATTTTTTCCCTACAGCTAGAAAAATGTCTGCCACAAATGAAAGCTGTGCCCTGACTCGTGCTGCGTGTCTGTGATTTCAGGTCCTGGCTTGCTGTCTGACAGGCACATCAGAAGAGAGATTTCCACTACATCCCCTGACAGTCCCCCAACCCAGACACATATCCTTCATCTTATTTCACCGTACACGTAAGGATTCTTTCTGCTCACCTCATTCTTTGTTTCAGCAGGTTCCCTGTGGAAGTACTGTGCCAGGGTCACAGCCTGCTTGAGGTTCTGAAGATGATGCTTCTGCAGCCAATCCTGAGTCTTCTGAGGCAGATTGGTCAGAAACCGCTCTAGCACCAGCAGTTCCATGATCTGCTCTTTCGAGTGGATCTCTGGCTGCAGCCACTGATGACATAGTTCCTGAAAACGGCTGGCAGCCTCGAATGCTCCAGGTACTTCATCAAAACGGAAGCCCTGCAGGTGCTTGAGAGCTTTCTCAGGACCAATATTCTCTCTTTGTGGGCTGTATTTCTCACTCTTGCTGGAAACCTCTTTCATGGACCCCTCAGGGTCCCAGTTCACAATCCTCACTGTGGAGTACAAGCAGGCATCTGCCTTCAGCTCCCTCCTCATCTTCTCTAGGGATGGTTTTACTCCAGGGTGTGATCCTGACATCCTCTGGTGCCACCTTTCCCAAAGAAAGATTCTTCTTTCCAAAGGCACTGAGGGAGAGCAGGAAAGAAAAAGTCATGTCAAAAAGAATGACGGTTCCAACATGGCTGAATAGGGAAAAGATGTGCTGAATCTGAAAACAGAAGAAGCACAGGAAAAGAGGATGGAGTGCACTCCCAGGGGAGAGTTGGAGAGAATTTTGCAGTGGAAATTCTACAGAAGGACAAGGGATGCCACAGAGCAACATAAAAGTAGCAGCCGTGCAGCAACGAGCCCAGGCACTACACATGACCCCTCGGCCAGGAGCTAAAGGAAGTACCATCTTTGGAGAACAAGGTGAAGGCAGACCGTCACGGCCCATGCCACTGGTGATGTTGTGTGAAGGAAAACCTTGGGGGCCATACTTTGGGTCTGGCCTGGAGCCCTAAAGGGGACAGGGTACCTGACTAATCCAGAGAACTAAAGGGGCATGTTTCTTTATCTCCATGCCCCGAAAAGGGTACACAATAACTGGTAGGTAGAAGGTGCCATTTGACACAATAGAGGCTGTTGCAATTCTTGTTTGGGCAATGCACCTGCTGATTTTACCAGAGGAAAAAAGTGATGTTCACCGCTGACTTTGAGTCTTGCAGGGGGGTTGAGAGGACACTGGGCACCCACCTAGGGGCTGTACGGTGACCCCAGCCTCTAAACATATCACAGGCTCCAGTATGCAAACTGCGATGGCATAGAGTCCACAGGCAGCTGGCTCACACCGTGGTTGGGGCAGGATTGCAGGGCTGACCAGTCCTCTGAACCACATGACTGTGGGAGCCTGTGAACTGTGACTGTGGATTCTTTGACTGTACAATAGGTCAAAGGGTGCAGCTGAATCTCTGGACAATCACTGTGTCTGGACTCAGAGGCTCAGAGCTCCCTGGCACGCTGGGTGGGTTGTTGATGACTGCTGCTTGCTCACACTGAGGACCACACACAGATCCTTTGTGTGGTTCATGTGCTAGCTTGGATGGTTGTTGTACCCACTGTGAGCTAACTCTGGGCATCGACCACTTTGGAAGAGGAGGTGAGGTTATGATTATGCCAAGAGGCATGATCCTACCTTCTCTCTTGCTGACAAGAGAGGAAATTTACCAGGCCCACTCTGCTGTCATTCTGGATTCTAAACCCATCCTTGAGCTCTGACCAGAGCTCCTTGGTCACCCCCAGAACACACACCTCTGGGGATTCAATGAAAGATCTGATACTACAAACACCACAGAGGCATAGTTCAAAGATAAAATCCCTCAGAGGAGAAAACCAATAAGCCTTAACAAAAATGCCTAAAAATAAATGCAGAAATTCAAGAAACAAGAAGAGGAAGACAACATGACTTCACAAAGTAACACAACACCGCTTCAATACTGGACTCTGAAGAAAAGGAGATGGATGAAATATCTCACAAAAAATCAGAAGCAAATTCATGGGGTAAAGTAATTCATATGTGGTGCCGGCGCTGTGGCATATTGTGTAAGGCTGCCGCATGCAGTGCCAGCATCCCATATGGGCACCGGTTTGAGAACTAGCAGCAGCACTTCTGATCCAGCTCTCTGCTATGGCCTGGGGAAGCAGCAGAAGACGGCCAAACTCCTTGGGCCCCTGCACATGCATGGCAGACCTGGAAGATACTTCTGGCTCCTGGCTTCGGATCGGCGCAGCTCTGGCTGTTGTGGCCATCTGGAGAGTGAACCAGTGGATGGAAGATTTCTCTCTCTCTCTCTCTCTGTCTCTCTCTGCCTCTCCTCTCTCTGTGTAACACCGACTTTCAATTAAATAAATCAAAGGAAATAAAGAAATTCATACGTGACATGCAGATAAAATTTTCCCATGAGATTGATATTTTGAAGAGAAATCAATCTGAAATATTAGAAATGAAGAAGTCAATATGTCAAATAAAAATACAGTGAAAAGCTTTAACAACAGACTCGGTGAGGGAGAAATAGAAATATCTGAGCTAGAAGATGAGTCTTTGGAAATGTCTCCATCAGAACAAAAAATGAAATAAGAAAAATTAAAAGCAAAGTTTGAGATTTATGGGATACTATGAAACGCCCCAAGCAACATATGGGACTTCGTTCCTGACTCTGTGGAAAGTAAAAATGGATTAGAAGGCCAGTGTAGTGATATAATAACAGAAATCTCCTTTAATTTGGAGAAACAAAGGGACACCCAAATACAGGAAGCACATAGAATTCCTCATAGATATGACCAGAAAATAGCTTCACCATGACACACTGTTGTCAAACTTATAACAGTAAAACATAAAAAATGTGCTTGAGAGAAACACCAGATTACCTTTAGAGGATCTCCGATTAGATGGATGGCTGATTTCTTATCAGAAACCCTACAGGCTAGGAGAGAATGGAGAAATGTACTCCAAGTCCTAAAAGAAAAAAAATGTCAATCCAGAATACTGTACCCTGTAAAGCTTTCATTTATGAATGAAGGTGAAATAAAGACCTTACATAACAAACACAAATTGAAAATATTTATCTTCAGTAGACCAGCCTTATAAGTTTCTTGAGGATGTGCTACAGGGGCCAGCGCTGTGACATAGTGGGTAAAGCCCCGAACGGCAGGGCTGGCATCCCATATGGGCACCAGCTTTTCTTCTGATCCAGCCCTCTGCTAAGGCCCGGGAAAACAGTGGAAGACGACCCAAGTCCTTGGGCCTCTGTACCCATCTGGGAGACCTGGAAGAAGCTGCTGGCTCCTGGCTTCGGATCAGCTCAGCTCTGGGCATTGTGGTCCTTTGGGGAGTGAAACAATGGATGGAAGACCTTTCTCTCTCTCTGGTTCTACCTCTCTCTGTCTTTCAAACAAAAAAATAAATCTTTAAAAAAGTGTAATCTTCAATGCGCAAAATTCTAAAGTTACTAAATGGCCAAAATTCTCCAATTAAAAGACTGCCTATGTGGATTAAAACACAATACTTATCTATTTGCTGCCTACAAGGACCACACCTCACCAACAAAGATACACGCAGAATGAAAGTGAAATGATAGAAAAAGTTATCCCTTGCTAACGGAAATCAAAACTGAGCAGGTGTAAGCAACCTAATTAAAGTAAAAGAATAGACTTTAAAACTAAAACTTCTAAAAGACACAAGGAGGACATTATGTAATGATTAAGGGATCAATTCGACAGGATGATATGACTATAATAAATGTATATACACAATACCTGGGTACCTGGCTATTTAAAACAAAAGTTAACTGGTCTCAATGGAGACCCCGATTCCAATTAAGTAGAAATGGGGGACTTCAACATTCCACTTTTATCAGTGGACAGGTGATGGGATGGCATCCCTGCTGAATTCTACCAAAAGTTTAAAGAATTAATTCCCATTCTTCTCAAGATATTTGAAAACAACCAAAGGGGAGGGAATCCTCCCTAACTCCTTCTATGAGTCCAGCATCGCCTCATTTCCAGAATCATAATTAGATACAAAATAGAGAGCTATAGATCAATATTTCTGATGAACATGAATGCAAAATTCTTAACAAAATACTACCTACTTGAATTCAACAATACACCAGAAAGATAATTCACACAGACCATGTGAGGTTTATCCCTGGTATGCAGCAATGGTTCAATATATGCAAATAAATAAATGTGATACCTACATTAACAAACTGAAAAATGAAAGCCATATGATTATCTCAATAGATGCTGAGAAATCATTTGATAAAATATAACATTCCTTCATGATAAAAATGTGAAGCAAACTGTGTATAGAAGGAACATTATTCAACACAATCAAGGCAATTTACAACAAACACACGGCCAGCATCCTATTGAATGTGGAAAAGTTGGAAGCATCTCTGCAGATACCCTGGGTGAGACAAGGATACTCACCTTCACCATACTATTTAGTCTAGTCCTGGCGAATTTAGCCAGAGCCATTAAGTGAGAAAATGAAATCAAAGTGATACAAATTAGCAAGGAGGAAGTCAAACTATCCCTACTTGCAGATGACATGATTCTATATATAGGAGAACCAAAAGACTCCACTAAGAGACTAACGGAACTCATCGCAGAATTTTTGAAAATTGCAGGATATAAAATTAACAAACAAATATTAACAGCCTTTGTATAGACAAATATTGTCAGGGCTGAGAAAGAATTGGTAAGATCAGTCCTATTCACAATAGCTACAAAAATGTAAGTACCTTAGGATAAATTTAACCAAGGAGGTGAAAGACCTCTATGATGTAAATTTCAAAACTGTAATGAAAGAAACAGAAATAGACAACAAATGGAAAAATATTCAATGTTCATGGATTGGAAGAATCAGTATCATCAAAACGTGCAAACTACCAAAAGAAATTTACAGATACAATGTGTACCCAACCAAAATACCAATGATGGGGATGGTGCTGTGGAGCAGTAGGCTAAGCCACTGCCTGCAGTGCCAGAACCTCATATGGGCGCTTGTTCACATCCTACCTACTCCTCTTACAATCCAGCTCTTGTTTATGGCCTGTGAATGCAGTGGTGGCTGCCCCAAATGCCTGTGTCCCTGAACCCACATGGGAGAGCTGGAGGAAGCTCCCAGCTCCTGGCGCCGAATTAGCTAGGCTCTGGCCCATTGAAGACATTTGGGGAGTGAACTAGTGGATGGAAGACCTTTCTATAAGTCTATCCCCCCCTCTGTAATTCTATCTCTCCAATAAATAATAAAATCCTTCTAAAAAGTCTAATAACATAATTCTCAGATCTAGAAAAATAATGATAAAATTTATATGAAAACACAAGAGACCCAGAATAGCTGAAGCAATATTGAACAACAAAAAAGCTGGATTCATCAAAATACCAGATTTCAAGATATCCTACAGGTCAGTTATAATTGAAAGAGCCTGGTACTGACACAAAAAATGGACATGTAGATAAGTGACACAGGATAGAAACTTTAGAAATCTGTCCACACATCTATAACCAACTAATGTTTGACAAAGAAGCTAAAATCAATCCCTCTAGAAAGGACAGTCTCTTTAACAAATGGTACTGGAAAACTGAATTGCAGCATGGGCAAGAATTAAACAAAACCCTTTCTTACAACTTTTACAAAAATCAACTTGAAATGGATCAAAGACCTAAATCTATGACCTAATACTATCAAATTACTACATCAGAACATTGGTGAAACTCAGCAAGGCACTGAAATTGGCAAATCCTTCTTTGAAAGGACACCAGAACCACTGGCAATCAAAGCAAAAATAGACAAATGGGATTACATCAAGGCAAGAAGCTTCTGCATTGTATTGGAAACACTCAGAAAAGTGAAGAGGCAACCAAAAGAATGGGTGAAAGCTTCTGCAAAGTATGCAACTGATAAATGATTAATACCCAAAATTTATAAAGAGCTCAAGAAACTAAACAACAACAAACAGTCCAGTTAACAAATGGGAAAAGTATTTGAACAGGCATTTTTCAAAAGAGGAAATTCAGTTGTATACTTTATCCCTTTTAGTATATTTTGTTCCACTTAATATTATTGGTTGAACTCTGTAATTAACACACAATTATTCTTAGGTGTTTAAATTTAACTGAAAAGTGATCCCTGTTAAATATAAGAGTGGGAATAAGAGAGGGAGGAGATGTACAGTTTGGGACAAGATCAAGCTGACTTGCCCCAAATGGTGGAGTTAGAAACGTGCCAGGGGATTCCAATTCAATCCCATCAAGGTGGCATGTACCAATGCCATCTCAATAGTCCGAGTGATCAATTTCTGTTCACAACTGATCACACTGATAGGTCTAAGAGTCAAAGGGATCACATAAACAAGACTAGTGTCTGCTAATGCTAACTGATAGAATTAAAAAGGGAGAGAATGATCTGACATGGGAAGTAGGATACACAGCAGACTCATAGAATCAGCCTCAGAATCAGCCCTTAAGGCATTCGGATATGGCTGAAGAGCCCATGAGAATATTTTAGGCATGGAATGCCAAGACACTCTGGCAAAAACAAACAAACAAACAAAAAACCTAAATGAAAGATCTCTGCGAGTGAGATCCCAGAGGAAAGAACAGGCCATCAAAGAAGGAGGTACCTTTCTCTGAAGGGAGGAAAGAACTTCCACTTTCACTATGACCTTGTCTAAATAAGATCAGAGTCAGAGAACTCAAAAGGCTTCCATAGCCTTGGCAACTCATGACAAGAGCCTAGGGAGATTATTGATGCCATAAACAAGAGTGTCAATTTGTTAAGTCAACAACAGCAGTCACTATGCACTTACTCCTCATGTAGGATCTCTGTCCTTAATGTGTTGTTCAATGTGAATTAATGCTATAACTAGTACTCAAACAGTATTTTTCACTTTATGTTTCTGTGTGGGAGAAAATGGTTGAAATCTTAATATATACAAAATGATTTTCTGTATATAAAGAGAATTGAAAATGAATCTTGATGTGAATGGAATGGGAGAGGGAGAGGGAAAGGGGAGGGTTGCGGGTGGGAGGAAAGTTATGGGGGGAAAAGACATTATAATCCATAAGCTGTACTTTGGAAATTTATATTTGATAAATAAAAGTTAAAAAAGAGGAAATTCAAATGGCCAACAGAAACATGAAAAATTGCTCAGGATCACTATGGATCAGGGAAATGCAAATAAAACTACAATGAGGCTTCACCTCACCCAAATTAGAATGACTCTCTTACAGAAATCAACAAATAATAAATGCTAGCGAGGATGTGGGGAAAGTTGCTTAATACACTCTTTGTGGGAAGGTAAACAAGTATAGCTGCTATGGAAGGCAGTATGGAGATATCTCAGAAAGCTGAAAACAGATACCGTATGACCCAGCAATTGCACTCCTGGGAACTGTCCCAAGGAAATGAAATCCGTTTATGAAAGTTATTTTACCCCCAGGTTTATTGCAGCTGAATGCACAATAGTTAAGATATGGAATCAGCTCAGATGTCCATCAACACACACACACACGCACACACACACACACACACACGTAGTTCTTGAATTCTCCTGCTTTATGGACAATGGGGTATTCACTTTTCCACTGTATTAACTCTTATAGAACTAGGACACATAAAGATCAAAAAAGAAATAAAGGAATTAGGGGAAAACAGCCACATTCTTCTCAGCAAATGTCCTCCCACTAAACAACCACATTGTCAACTTTTGAGTGGGGAGTGCACTTCTTTGGAAGGTTTATTTTTTTTCCAAAAAAATTGCACATGGATGAAACTGTCATTAATATATTCAATTACTGGTTTTTCAATTACTGGTTTATTCAATTACAGCCACCAATTATTTTCCCATTAAACTTGGGTCTTTCATCTTATTACTTGTTAAACTTCTTATTCAGTAATTTATTTAGCCTTTTTGCTGTAACGGAAATTTAAAATATGCTATCTGAAATACTAAAAAATGACAGACACAAGGGTGGAACGAAGCAGGTTGGGAGGGAGGGAGGAGGAGTTTATCATTATGTTCGTACACTTGTATCTACAATTCACATTTTATCCCATAAGGACTTCCAGGCTCT